AGCTAGTAGATTGGAGGCCATCGCTATTAGGTGGGAGGCCATAGCTACTTTGATGGGCTGTGTGTTTAGTAACAAGTTAACTTATTTAACATAGTTAGCTAATCATTTAATAATCAATTAACAAAATTAGCTAAATGATTAGCTAAATAGTTAACTAAATAAAACAGCGATTTTCTGATCATAAAATCACAATAATCTGGCAAGTGAAACTGCACACGCACTACAGGTGAAACACTGCATTGCACATGAATTCTTGCCATATAGCAAGTGCCAGCGCGCAACAACAAAACAATAGTGAAGCCATGAACAGGCTTGCATTGTTTCCATGAATTGGCAATGCTGATTGCGTGAAAGGCCTGTGATGGCTGCATGAAAAGCTCGTAATGGCTTGCATTGTGACCATGAATTGGCAATGCTGATTGCATGAAAGGCCTGTAATGGCTGAAAGAAAACCTTGTAATGGCTGCATGGAAAGGTTGGGCTGGTTGCATGCATTGCAAGCATAGCTTGTAATGGTTGAAGGTTCCATGAATTGGCAATGCTGATTGCATGAAAAGCTTGTAGTGGCTGCATGAAAAGCCTGCAATGGTTGCAAGAAAGGCCTGTAATGGCTGCATGGAAAAGCTGGGCTGCTTGCATGACTTGCAGGACTGGTGCGCAAAGTCAATATTGCTAATGGAAAACACAGCAAGTCTAAAGCAGGCCTCCTTATCTCCATGGTAATGGAATCAGGGTGGTAATCCTCGCACCATTTTGAGCATAGATGCAAGGTGTTAAAACCTTGCGCAAGGAAATTGCAGCAGATTGGCCAGCAAAGCTTTGCCATACAGCATGCTCATTCCTTGCACCAATTTCCAAACATTCAAACAAAGATACCAAACACATGGGCTGCCCAGCATCTAAATGCAATTGAAGTTTTCCAGCAGTCCACTTCCTGGTGCCATGTGCAAGTTCCAGCAATACAACATCACCTTTGGAGCAAGTCACACCATGCTTCAGCCAGGCACTGTGCCAGCCAGCTTGGAAGGCAGCTTGTGGGGCTTCTTGAGCTGGTACTCCAAGGCAGCAAAGGGGGTATCATGGCTCAAGACATTGAGTTCTTTTGCAGTAACCTCTTCCATCACACTTTGTTCCAGCTGCCTTGTGTTGGCAATGGCATTGCCAATTCTGGAAATGAACCGATGCTTCCTTTCCATAGCCATGTTTTCTGGCCAGAGCCAGCCACTCCTGCCTATTCATTCTTGGGCCAGAATAATTAGGGTTGCGGCAAGCTCTACATCCTTTGGGTGTGCCCCTGCAAGTCTTGCAGCCCAGCTTGAGCACACCAGAAGGACCAGCAGGAGTTGGTGCAGCCTTTCCTTTGGTCTGTGCTTTTGCTTTGGCCTTTCCTTTGGCCTTTGCCTGTGCTGCAGCAGGCCGCTTCATCAGTTTCTTGTTCTGCAAAAAAGCATAAGTTTCAGCCTCATAGTCTTCCAACGACTTTTCCTCACCAGGCTCTTTGTCATTGGTTTGCGCTTCCACAGGCCCAGCAGAAGCTTCAGCCTGCGCAGGGGTTGTCCCAATGGCATCCAACAGAGGCAAAGCAGGTGCTGCAGCTGGAGCTGAAGGGCATCTGAAGGCAGCTAATGCGTCAGCAGGAGTTGGCCCAGCACTGGGCTGCAAGGGGGCCTCCTTGCTTGCAGTAGCCTTAGTGGCAAGAACTTGAACGCACACACATTGTTTGCACATAGGTATACCTGTTTGCACCGTTGTCTGGGCCTGTATTGGCAATCTACATTGACCAATATTGATCCAAGTGGCTTTGACACCTTTGTGGGAATTCCTCGCAGCTCCTTGGCCCAGCGCCCCAGCCAACTCTGGGACAATGGCCAAAGCAGGAGTCTCATCACCATAGGATGCCTTCAAGTGCTCAGGAGGAAGATCCAAAGGGTTTTCTGGATACACTGCCAAAGCAGAGGCATCAATTCGATCATATGGCTGTGGCTGTGGCTGGGTTGCCATCACTACTACTTTTCCCACACTAAAATAGTTCCAGCCAGAGTGCTGCAAAAGAAGTCAATATAAGGTCTGTATTGACAAAACAATGGCCTGTTTTGGCAAACAAAAATTGTATAGGCCTGTATTGGCAAAATACGTAAATATGTAAATAGAATAGAGTACAAATATGAAGGCAAAAAATATGTTTTACAAAAGCTAATTACACTATAGTAGATAGGTTTTTCATTCATAAAATATAAAAGGAAAACACAATAACGATTAGGTTTTTTGTACCAAAACTAAATTTCTTAAATTTAGTGTAGATATACAATATTTGCTTTTAGAAACCAAAATGTGTTTGAATAATAACGTAAGTTTTGCTTTTAGTAGCGACAAAACAATTTCGAAAAATCTAGGATTTGCTTTTAGCGGCTCAAAGCAAATCCTAAAAATCCAGGGTTTGCTTTTAGATGCTAAAAGCAAATCCTAAAAATCCAAGATTTGCTTTTAGAGGCTAAAAGCAAATCCTAAATATCCAGGATTTGCTTTTAGAGGCTAAAAGCAAATCCTAAAAATCCAG